TACGTGTGAAGAGAGGTGGATATATGGATTGGTGGATGGTGGGTGGATGTGAGGGTGGGAGGGGATGTATGGATATGAAGGAAGGGTGAACATGTGGATGTGTGACATGAGGTGGATATGTGGGTCAGTGGGTGGTATATGGATGTATGGGCGGAGGAGAGAGATGGACGCATACATTGGTGGATGGTATCTTGATACAAGTGCGTGTATGTGTTTGGGGGAGGGGGGCAAATGTTTTTTGCGTGGTAGATTGAAGATGAAGATAAAGATGAGGGTGAACGTGAAGATGACATAGGGAAGGAAAGACAGATAGATGGCTTAGTGAACGGTATATGGACGTGTCGATTGCTAGAAGGTCGTTTCGAAATGGGATGGGGTGGGGGTGAAAGATAGATCGACTGATGGATTGTTGGATGGTATGTGGATGTATAGTTAGCGGGATGGTGGGGATCGCCAAACAGACGGACAGATAGACAAACAGACAGAAAGGCACACAAAATTACAGATACACAGACACACAGACACACACATAGACAGACATATATACAGAGGTATAAAAAGGAGGAGAGGGGGGTGGAGTGACTGCTGTCAGTATCTGAGCTTACCGGCAAGAACTCTTTGATGTCGTTGTTGGTGACTTTTATAGAGCGTAAATTATGCAGCTGGCTGAGGTCACCGGGGAGGTCAGTGAGGTTGTTCCGGCTCACGTCCAAGTACTCCAGGGCGCGCATCTTACACATCTGTAGACCAACCAAAGCAGCTAAATATAGAAAAAGAGCTGATGGCAGTGACGTCACGCGTGTCAGACACTGGGGAATTCTTTCTTGCCTCCAACGGCATGGCCGAGGCACCCCATTTACACAAACAGCAATTTTAGCCTTAACTCCGCTCTCTACGCCCTCCACCCACATTTCAGTGCCAAGCTTATAGATGTCTTCCAAAGACCGTCTAGATGTCTCCACATGAGTCCCGAAAAGTACCCACTCTTCTGTTGTTCTTGCTATCAACGTTCAGCGTCTCAGCGCACATGCAGCCCTCGTTCGTTTACGTGGATGACTTCACAGCCACGATCTCTTGTACTACAACCTCTTTGAGTCGAATATAACCTCATAATAGAAACAGGTAGGTCGTTTACAAGGCTAGAGATTTGAAAGGGGGGGTTTACGGGACAGAAAAAAAGAACACAGAAAGAAATAAGACAGAGAGAACGTACCAGAGTTGCGTTGATCAGATCAAGTTAGGGACAGAAACTGAATTAATTTTCCCTTGTCCGAGATGACAAGGTGCTCGATTGTAACTTCCCTGGGATCAGGGTGTATGAAAAAAACAAAAAAACAAGTGAAAACCCCCGACTGTGTCGGAGATCAAACCCCAGACCTCCAGGCTGACAGTCAAACAACATACCTAGTACCTGACTCATCTGTAGCACTCAATAAAGCAAACTGCAAGTACTTAAAGCGGGAATCGAACTCATGCCTTTGGTGTATTGCGTCGAAGAGCCTAACTGCTGCAACATATTATATAATTATGCTTATGATCCGTAGGCCTGTCCTTCAAAGAACAGAATAACACGCACCTTTTGGCAAGCGGAACGATAGATCAAATATTAATTAACACAAAAATGTATTCCACGCAATCCCTGTTACCTCCCTTATACAGAAAGGTTTTTGAATTGTTAGAGAAAAAAAAACAACAAACAACCAAAACAAACAAATGCTTTTTAATCAGCCGAAAAAAGAAAAAACCCAAAATAAAACAGAAAACAAAAAACAAACAAACGGGAAAACCCGAACTGAGAGCGATTTTTTTTTGGTTTCGGCTCTTTTAACAAGGGAAGTCATCCAATTTGGAATTTAAAATGATGCTGAGAATCAATGGGAATAATCTTCGTTCTCTCCCTTATACATACAAGTTATGAACAGTGAAGAAAACGCCCAATTAATGTAAAATGAAAGAAAATCATTCCTGATCCAGCAGTCTAGAAGACTTTACGAAGAGTCGAAATCGTCATAAAAATCCCAAACCTGCTTTGTCAGGATGTAGGCTAAGTGTTTTAGTGCTGTAAATGGCAGCTGGCAATATATTGTTTCCAGGAGGTTAAGAATTTTTCAGAAAGCTGTCAGCTGATTTGGGTAATAATATAGATTGTGAAGCGCATAATTACAGAGCTTGATGTTGAGCGGGAACTTTCTCTCCACAAATCTTATTTACTAGCTGGACCCCCTTTCGATGAAAGGAATGATCGGTGCATTAACATCAACTGAAAGTCATTGGCCTACTATATTTACACTCTACTGGAATGGAGCAATAAATCTTGAGAGATGCAAAAAATTAGACGATCTAGATTTTGAGATGTATAGATTGATTCTCTATTCCGCTTTCGTCGTTGTACACTCTAGAATTTCAGTGCGCACGGCCAGTAAACGGAAACCTCACGTGTTTACAATGGCGTCGTAGAATACGGACTTTCCCAAGATTATATCAAAACGAAACTAATGAAAAACTGAAAATTAAACTACAGTGACTTCAGGCTCCTCAATACCCTTTAAATGATTTTGAACCACCATTAATTTTATCAAATTCAAAAGTTAAGTAGTTCGGGAGTTTTAGGCGGCCAAAGTGATGGACTTTCACTAATAATATGTATAGATGACTCTGACTAGGATTA